TGCAGGCTACGACATGGCCGCCCGGAACGCCGTAACAAGACTACAGCTCCCGGCATGCCCTGCAGGCTACGACATGGCCGCCCGGATCCCCTTCACCAGACCGCAGCTCCCTGCTTGCCGTGCAAACGCCATGGCCGTGCGGCAGCGCCGTCCCGGGACACCCCTGCTGCGGCCGGCCGGGGCAGCGGCGCTCTGGGGCGGCTCCCTCGAGAGCGGGGCGCGCCCGGATTGCGCCGCAGAGCCCCGCGGGACCCCGCGGCCACGGGCTCCCGACACTGCCGCGAGAGGGCGCCCTGCCCCTGCGCAGGGCAGTCCCGAGCGGGGAACTGCACACCTGAGTGCCTGGGACGTGGCGGAGCTCTGGCGTGTTTACATTGACCGTCTGTCCTGCCACCTTCATCACTTCTACTGTCTGCACAGGCTCCTCCATCTTCTCGTGTTGTTAGCGGATGGATGCCCTGTGAGAAGGCAAAGAAAGGAAGACGTTGAAAAGGAAATTAAACAGATTCACGGAGCCTCAAAGAGTTTCACTCTTTGACCCCATCCTTGCTCTAAATGTTGTCACTGGGGCAAATGTCACCTACTTGGTTATCATCTACCTGCTATCGTACAGGAAAGGGGAAAGAAGCAATACTTTATTTCACTAGCTGAAGTTACAGAGAAGCACAACTTAAAAGCAGAGCATAGAAGCAAGACATACATCCAAGTTCCAGCTGTCTCCCCCTCCGAAGAGGAGAAACTCCACACTTCTCTCCCTGAGGAGACACATCCCTCCTAATATTGGCTACTGTCATTAAAAGAGCAGCAACACAAAAAGCACAACATGGAGAAGAATACACGCATACACGTGCACGCACACCCACAGAACTTTTAACACCTCAGATGCCTCATCGAAGGAAATCCAAATATATGATGTCTACAAATCCTTGAAGAGATATTGGCATCTAATTCCCAAGGATGACCAGGGCTTAATCCATATGTTTTCCTTCAACAAATCCTAACAGCTAGCTGAGACTTTTTCCCGCGTTAATCTAGTGGCCTCTAAAAATCTGTTCTTACAAGGTATTCTGCCCTTACACTTCTGTTTAACTGACAGCTCATCACCAGGTAGGTAACAGAATATCTTACAGTCCAGCTTAACAACCCAGCTGGGAACTGAGGTTTTTCCCAGAATCTCGCTGCACGGCCTTGGTTGCGGTTGCAGTCTTCCATCGCCATGGACACGCCAGCCTGTAAACAGTGCCACTGTTCAGAATGCACCGCGTGGCTCTTCAAACACTGCTCTGTGAGCCACGAGAAGCAACCTCAGAAGCGATCCCGAAACTTTAAGGCGGCACGAGCAGGAAAGGTCAGTGGCTTTCTGAAAAGCACATTTTGTATAATACCAGCTTTAGCGAAGCCTATTTTTTCCCCTGCAGGTTTAGCCATTCCCCTCACATTCACACAGTTCTACAACTGTCTTTCCCCTGACCCTAACTGCCTTGCGTTAACTGATCTCTACTACTTTCCACCGTGACACCCTTCTAGTCTTCCAGTGTGTTTCCCAAAACAAGATGGAATGATTTCTCCCTCAGATTCTTCTGTCCCTCTGTACGCACTGTACTTTCAATGCAACTGCCATATTCACAGCTTGGAACCTGTTCTAATATTACTATACAAATTTTGTATATTTACTACACAATTTTTGTATATTTATTCAACTTTGCTCATATATCTACTTGAATTTTGGACATTTTTTGAAAGATACCGCTTTTATTAGAATACAAACTTGAGTTTTCAATGAGAGAACACTTACTAGACTTCTTGGTTGTGATTAAAGCCTTGATCACAGTATTCCTCCTCTGAAAAAGTAGTTTAAAAGTTCAGCATACAAACTACCATGCACTTTTATTTTCACAGTTACATCTGCAAGAGTGATTCAAATTGATGAATTTCCCTTCCCTCAATATTTCTACCCATGCCCCTTATATTGCACCTATCTCACCAGTTTTGCTTTCACCATGTTTGCTTAAAAAAAAAAAAAAAAAAAGCAAAGTCTTAAGTCACTTAAGTAACCCACAAACATTACAAAACAAGTCTTTCAACTTACTTCTTGGATTCAGGATTGCAAGCTATACTTAACAGTATGAGCCTTTGGCATACAGACATCAGGATTGACAGAAGCATTATTTTGAAACTAAAGAAAAAACATACATTCCAGATGTATACAGCTTCTTGCTTGCTAGTGTGCTTGCCCATTATTGTTCTGCAATGTTTGGCCCTTCTGGAAAGAAATTGTGAGCTCTAAAGGTACATCTTACTGTGGCCATTTTTTTCTTACATGATGATAATTACTGTCATTATTTGCACTACACATATGTTTCTTCCTCTTGTCTCTAACCTGGGATGTTGTTTCCTGGCCATGGAAACCTGGGTGTACATCTAAGAGTAATGAGTGTTGGAACACAACTCTCTCCTCATTCTGGTGAGTGTCCTTAGATTGCAACATTAGTCTTCACAGTTATTCTTTCACTCTTCCTGTGTGCGTGAATATTTGCATCAGTTAATAAAAGTTGTATCTCAAATTATACTATGGCATAATAGTTAAGATGATGTCCAAGAAGGTGTCAGTTCATGTTATCTCAAGTAGAGGAAGGATAAGAACGTAGTCACCCCCCAAAGTAACTGAATATCCTGATCAATCACTGAAGCCTTAGGTTTAAACAGGAAGCAACACTTTCCTCTCTGCTCTCATTTCATAAGACAGTAATTTCACAAAAAAAAAGACGTGGCTGTGAATTCTGCTTCTTCAAGTATAAAAACAGGAATCTGATTTTGATGGAGAAATGGAACTTCTCTCCATAACGTAACTCTCCTCAGAGTAATTCAGATACCTTCTAGTTCAATTATTTTGCAGCCATATTTTATAATTTATAAATTTATGGATTTCAGTCATGTCTCTAGTCAGTACCAATTGTCTGGCTGAAGGTTTATCCCACTGCCTACAGAGAAACAGCACATAGGGTAAAACTGTAGTAATTGCCCAGAGGGATTTGACTCCATCCTCCAAACTACAGAAATAGCACAACACTGAAAAACAACAGCAAAAAGATCTTCATATATACATAAATATATATAATTAGATTAGTAAAAATACTTATCAGTTATCTAGGACTATAAAAAATGCACATACACATGGGTGCATATGTGAGTTTCAAGTCGAGATGGAGGTCAGATATGAAACATTTTAGGCAAAACATTTTAGCTGTCAATTATAAGCAGTTGAAAATAAGAGGACATGACCAGGGGGCGGGAAACAGCAACCTTCATGTGTGTGACCAGAACACTCCCTAGAATTCCTGATTTTTCATTCTGCCAGATTAAGTGTGAAGTATGACATCCAAGAAAAAGAAGCTGAAACAAGACACTATACGTGCAGGAACAAATAAAGAAGGACTAAGAACCAGAAATGGAGAAATATCCAAAGGAAGAAGCCACACAGAAGCACTTGTCAGAGAGAGGAAGCAGTATTTGCAGAAGGAATACAAGACCCTTTCAGAACATATGAATACATATATGGGAAGAGTGGAGCATTTCCTTCATGAGAATGATATCCTAGAAAAGGAAGCTCAACAGAATCAGGAAGAGAGCAATGCTTATCTCTCCTACATAACAAAACACAGCCAGAAGTGCCAGAATATGATAATAAAATTAAATGAGCAGAATCACACTGATCTGTCTCAAATCAAGAAGCAGAAAGAGAAGCTAATCTCACAGTATGCAGAAAAAGAGAAGGAAGTAAGGAACTACCTCATGGATATGGAGGCAAAATATTCTCTTATGAACAAGGAGGTTGAAAGCTTGCAGCCTTTCAAAGACCTGCAGCTGGAACAGATTAACAAGATTAAGGACCTGGAGAAGGAGTTGTTGGTCACAAAGATCCGGCATGCAGAACAAATGCACAAAATCAAGAGCAGTTTTCTCCAGGCCAAGGCTGCCTGTGAGGCAGAGTGTCATCAGAGGATCCAGTTTCTGACCAAGAAAGCAGAAGAAGCAGCAGTACAATCTCTGATTCAGCATGCCAAACAAATAAAGGCAGAGAACTGGCATCTACGCCAGGAATTGCTCAATCTCATCCAATGCTCACACATTCTTAAAGCAATCAAGCTTCAACTGAAGGGGCAGCAGCAGCAGCTTCTTCAGGAGAACCAGTACAGCCAGGACATGGCACGCATCCGTCGCTGGTTTCCCCGTCGTGAGGTACCCGATGCAAACAGATAAACCTACAGCTTCCACCAGCCCTTCAGACGTGCTCAGTAGCCCAGAAGAAGCACTTCTCTGCTCCTCACTCACACTGCTTACCACTGGACCCAGGGGACTGCTGCTGCGTCAGGCAACGAAGGAGGCAGAAGCAAGGCCAATGGCTGACACGTTTCTGCGGGTGCAGGAACGGTTTGATTCAGAGTTTGTGCTGAGAACACAGCCAAATACATCTGAAAGGTAACTTGCCTTTAACTTTCACAACATCCACATTAAGTAACAGTTGAAACTGCAATTCTTTCACTCCCCACAATAAAATGAGATTTTCTCTTTTTCAAAATAGGCTTTGATATTTCATCATTTATTATTTTTAATATATAGTAACTTTACACCTGTGAATTATATTCTTAGACCTAGTGATGCAACCTTCGTTACTTTTCACTGCCAACTATATCTACAGATACCACAATTTGAACTGGCGTAGGCCAACTCCTACATCCAAAAAAATTCATCTTCCCAAAACTTCTTGAAGGACTGTAATTAATTTAATATTTCATTAGTCTCAAAAGGAGTTTAAATAAATAACCAAGCACCTACATTATTTTAACTAATATATGTAGTAATATAAGATATTCAACTTTTAGTCAGACCTGTCAATAAGCTATATTCACTGAACATATTCTTATCAATTTTCTTTTTTTTGCCTACTTCAATGCTTCACTTTGGAAACAACGGGCAATCAACTCTTGTTTCTGATAGCCTACAGGCATATTCACTTTCCAAGGTGAAAACTTTTGAATAACAATTACCTCATCAGGGCCAACATCAGAAGTCACTTTTCCTCCATTTTTGGATATTCCCACAGAGATATTTTATATACAACCATCACATAGCAGAGGTTGGAAGGGACCTCAAAGCAGGGGCAACCAGAGGAGGTAGCTCAGGGCTGTGTCAAGTAGAGGTTTTAGTATCTCCAAGGAAGGAGACTTCACAATCTGCCTGGGCAACATGTTCTAGTGTTTGATCACTGGCATGGCAAGAAAGGCTTTTTTTTTCTTTTTTTTTCCTTATACTTAAATAGAATTCCTCAAATACCAACCTGTAGCGGAGGCCGGGACCTGGGCACAGGCCCGGGCAGGCGGAGAGGTTGCTGGGGCGGGAAGGGGGCTGCGTAGCAACCAGAGCCGGCGCATGCGCGCGGCGCCCGCGGCCGTCTCCATAGCAGCAGAGCCGCGGGGATCGCGGCGCGGCCGCCATGAGCGCGCCGGAGGTGGAGGCGCTCGTGGCGCAGCACTACGAGATCAGGAGGCGCCTGGGCAAGGGGGTGAGCGCGGCGCGGGGCCCGGAGCGCGGGGGCTGCGGCCAGCGGGAGAGCTGGAGAGGCTGCCAAAAAGCTGAGGAAGTACTGAGGCCTGAATTACTTACAGTGCCCGAGAGAGGAGGAAAATCAGAACTCTCACCCTCATGCTTTATTTGATTTTTTCCTGTTTCTCGATAAAAATAAGATAGGCATGATGTGTAACACATAAAAGCAAAAAAGTGCCTTTAAAATTCCTTGTCACTTCCCCTTCCACCCCTCCCCCCAGTTTTGTTGGTGAAGCCTTCCCATTTCCATATTTTTTTGCTATAAATTCACATTACCACAGAAAGCAGTACCAGACCATTCATACACACCTACTTTATAGTAAAATGTGTCTCAAAAAGAGATTGTGACAGTCAGGTTCTTTCACACTTATTGTAACCATATCATGTCAAGTATAATGCCCTATTCATGTAGTTTTTCCTGATAAAGTATTTATATATTTTTTTATATATGGTTTTAAAGAGGCAGAGTTATTTCCTCAGCTCTTTCTCCTGAAGGCTGTCTCTGAGCCCTTCCTAATGATCCGTTTTTCTTGATCTGACAGCTGGGCCATTGCTTACTTGCGCTGATACCTACAGCTAAGTGTTCCATGTGCAGCTGGATGTGACGCGCGCTGTTTTCTCCTTTCTCCTAGTTTTTCTAGTTTGAAATCACGCCAGTCTTTTCTACATATTTCATTCTAAGTTTGTCTGAGCTTTTTTGCCATCTCGTTAGTACTTACCAGCTTTTTTTTGACTGAGTATAATATGTTGCATCTTTTAACATGTTATGTTCTGATAGCAGAATAGTTTTATTCTCTCATCTGTAATACCAGATTGAGGGTTTTGTTTGGAGGCTGTTTCAGAAACATGGATCCTTTAAATGCCCTCAGTGGCTTTAGATTCATCATCTAGGCATCACTGACATTATCAAGACTACTAGTGAAGCTCTTAACTTTGGTGGTGCAAGTCTCCTAAATATCAGTGTTTTCTGCCTCTTGTATGCAGAAAGTCCTATATTTGCTAGATTCCCCAGCTCATGATCTCACCCGAGGCTTTGAAGGACTGTTGTAGGTTCTGAAACAAGTGAGGACTGCTGCAGAAATAGAACAGGGAAGATGGGCAGCAACAAGGGAGATAAGTGTTTCCTTTACCATGAGGGCATTCAGACAATTCCTTTTTTTTCTTTCTTTTTTTTTTTTTCTTTTTTTCAGATTAAAATCAGTATTGCCTATGAGGGGAACAGGAACCTTAACATGAGGTTTTTCCTATTCTGGAGGAGTTAACTTGTGTGATATTTGCAATGGTGTATATACAGCCTCCCTTGTAGAACAGCTCCATTTTTTTAATAGATCTGAATCTCAACTTTCCACATTCTAGGGGATGCCTAACTCCTGCACAATAGAGTCATTTCTTGCTCTGTTGCTCAGTCAATATTTAAGCAACTCGCTCTAGTGTGAGAAAATGACTGATTTCTATGCTTAAATTCTCTGATATTAAGGCAGGATTCCCCAAGAATATTAATTGGCCTGGAATATGGGTTCCAGACCTTTGCTGCATGTAGGACAAAATAAGCAAATAGAGTAAAAGTGCTGAGACATTGGCAATTGGCAATTTTTTTGTTTGTGTGTGTGGTTCTAATCTCTGAGACAAACATGTCTGCGTGATCAGAAATAAATGTATCTTTCTGGCCACATTGGCTCTGTAACTGTCAAAAACATCCCTTCTGTTTTCTTATTTTATTTTACTATACAGTTTAAATAACTCTTCATTTATCTGGTTTCTGAGAATCACAGAATAGAATCATAGAATCATTATGGTTGGGAAAGACCTTCAAGATCATAGAGTCCAATGGGAAACCCTTCAACAGCATCCTGCTAAACCATGTCCCTAAGTGCCTCATCTACACGGTTCTTCAACACTGCCAGAGACGGGGACTCCACCACTGCCCTGGGCAGCCCATTCCAACGCTTGACTACTCTTTCCGTGTAGAAATTTGTCCTAATGACTAACCTGAACCTCCTCTGGTGCAACTTCAGGCCACTTCCTCTTGTCCTGTCTGTAGTTATTCTGGAGAAGAGATTGACCCTCCCCCTCACTACAACCTCCTTCCAGATAGTTTTTTTTAGGTACTAATGTGGCAAATGCAGCTGAGGATATTTGTCATTATTGCTCTGTAGGTATGTTGGTGGCGCTTGCTTTAAGTGGTTGGTTCCAAGATTTAAGATATTTTCTTTACCAATAGAAGCTACTCCAAAGATTTCTACCTTGCTGTTGTAGGGTCACTGTGGTCAGCATTTTATGCCTTTGCTCAAAATCAAAACACTGAATCAGGAGGATCCTACTAGTTTGAGCTATGTCACGCTAGGATTTCTTTCTTAGAAAATCAAACATTCTTCTCGGAGCAGCCTGTTATTGATACTTCAGCATGTTGTTGAGAGGAAACTGGGCCAGCTAATAGAAGGTAAACCTGTGTTAAATTACATTGAAACCATCTCGCTCAGGTATATAGCCAAAAATTATTTAAGGGGAGGTATTATATATTTATTCTATTTATATTTTTTTGCTATTGGCTGCTTTTGCTCTGACTCAGTATGGATGTTCTTAGTCCTTCAGTCAAGAAGTACTGTTCATTTTCTGTGTCCTAGGTAGTTAGTAATTGTTTTTTTTTTAAGCTGTTGCGTACATTCTGCTTCAAGACTAAGAGTGTGGGCTGAGCTTGAGCACACTGCTCATCTGCGCTTCCCCTTCCCCAGGCTTATGGCATTGTGTGGAAAGCAATTGATCGCAGGACAGGAGAAACAGTTGCTGTTAAAAAGATTTTTGATGCCTTCAGGAACAGAACAGATGCTCAGGTAAGAAATCATTGTATTGACATGTCCTGAAGGATTTGTTGGGAATTCATAGCTATTCATAGAATCGTAGAATCGTTAAGGTTGGAAGGGACCTCTAGAGGTCATCTAGTCCAACCCCCCTGCACACGCAGGGTCACCTAGAGCACGTGACACAGGACTGCGTCCAAACAGGTTTTGAAGATCTCCAGAGAAGGAGAATCCACAACCTCTCTTGGCAACCTGTTCCAGTGCTCCATCATCCTCACTGTTAAAAAAAAAAATTCCTTAAGTTCCTGTGGAACTTTTGGTGCTTCAGTTTGTGGCCATTAACTCTAGCTCTGTCAGTGGCTAGCACTGAAAAGAGGCCAACCCCATCCTCTACACTCCCTCCCTTGAGGTATTTGTATACACTGCTCAGGTCCCTTCTCAGCCTTCCCTTCTTCAGGCTGAACAGGCCCAACTCCCTCAGTCTCTCCTCATAGGGATGTCCAGGCCTCTGGTCATCCTCCTATTGAGGATTTGTATATTGACCTACATATGTGTATTGACCTACAGGCAACTTGGCTACACTTTGAAAAATGTTAGCTATTTGACAGTTGTGATATTATAGTCTGAAATTATATTATGATAAAAATGAGCAAAAATATGAGGCTCTGTGTATCATAGCCTCTACAAACTACTGACTGATGTTACTGAGGGGAAAGTGTCCGTATAGAAATGTACAGTTTGATTCTCCCTTATGTTGTTACTTTTCTCTAAGAACTGAGAGCAGACTTACGATGTTTAGCCTTTTTATCATTAGAATGGATCCTTCTTCACTGAAAGTGCATATTAATTTCTGTCATCCTGTTGTGACAATAAATGTTTCTGTTTTTAGAGAACTTTTCGAGAGATTATGTTCTTGCAGGTAAGCTCCTTCTTTCTGATTTTTAATTATTTCTGCTGTCACTCACGTATCTCCTTTTCATTCTTTTTCAAAATGCAGTACTCAATGTTGTCATGGTTCTTTTTTTTTTTTTTTTGCTTCTTTTCTTTGCTGTCTGTCTTGGCAAACAGTCTTTCCATGACTCTGCAAAAGCTCCCGAATGAAATGGACAATTGTCTTATATTTTCCTTCAGATGTGCCTTGTTCTTTCACCAGTTTTAGTAATGTGTCTACTCTATAACCACTGTGGATATGCACTCTCTCTCATGTCTTCCTTCTTTATGGATGGAAAGATCTTTTTCCTTGAAGTTTAAATGCTGTGATTCGGAGGTGGGGACGACAAATGGAAGAGAATTGCATGTTAAAACTTTCTTCCTCGCTTGTGTGGGAAGAAATTCAACCACTTGAAATAATTAAAGCATAACTAAAGGGAGAAGTTCTATATAGGAGTTGCTTAAGGTTGCTCTTATTATTTAGTAACCGCACTAGACCTAATTACAGTATCAGTGGCAGTGGCTTTAGAATCATATCTCTAAAACCTCTCATCTTCTTCACCTAAACGTAACGATCTTCAGAACTATCTCTTGCTATGAACCCTGTCTTGTTTGTTCCCTTAGATGATCATGGTTGTAACAACATTGCCACTTTTCCAAAACATTCATGTTTCTACATGAGAGGTCTTAAGGAAGAATGGACACCCAAACCTTTCTTTAGACATGAAATAGAAGCGACAGACTTAAGAGCTAAAAATTCCTAAGTAAAGTTGCTTAAAGATTAATTTACATTACAAGTTAGATTCTGAAAGCATAGCACTTTTGGAGCAGGTGAGTGAAGGTGGGTACCCCCTAAAGGAGAGAACAAGACCCAAGGGATGTTATAATGTGCTGTTGGGGCATTACTTTCATGGCTTTTGATGTTCAGTAAACTTAAGAATTTTAGTTGCCACCTCTTCTTTTTGAATGTGTTTGTACTTCTTCCTTGAGGATCAGAACTGACACACTGGATAGTGTATTTTATATTCCTTGTCTGTGTGAGTTCCTTCCTGTGTATAGTGATTATTTAGTTGCAGCTGCATGTTTGCTATAGGGTATTTGATGCCCAGGATGTAGTTCATTATACCGGAGAAGTGTGTGTGTAGAATCCAGGGGTTTTGATGGTTTTCTTCTGGTTGATATGTAGTATGTTGATCTGATATGTAGTATGTTGATCATAATGTTACTGACGTGTTTTGCATTTATTGCTCAGCAGAAATCCAGATCTGTTTGGTGCTTTTTGGGTCCCAGTGTAAAAAGTGGTTTTGGTAATGAGTTAATGAGAGTATGGTTCCTTAAGCAAAGATAAGCAGAACTGGCTCTGTCAAGTTTTTATTCATTGTAGGATTTTTTGGATTTTTTTTATAGTTTTGATTGAAACTTTTTCATAACTTGCCATTATTAGTTCCAGGGCAAGGCAGTGTGAGAGAGTGGATGCTTCCTTCAGTATTAAGTTCTTAAACTTTGTAATTTGGTAAAGATTTCTTCAGGTGATTAAAGTGGGTATTATGAATATTTTTTCCCAGAATAAACATAAGCATGTTTGATGGCCTGGCTCTATATTACAGGTTTGTACTGTATTTGCACTGGTTGCTGCAAATGGGTGTGTTAGTTGCAAATTTTCCTGGATGTACATTGTAACCATTCTTTGTATTGTTTTCAGAGCATAGGAAGCTGATGCTCTTCTAAGATTACTGTGGAGATAGTTTAATGTGATTCTTTTGTTTTTAAATGAACTTGTGATGAGTAGTCTATGTTACTAGTGCGAATAATGATGCTTTAATTTATGTATTTCATGCATAGGTTTTATGGTGCACCTACTTTTCCAGCGCAGGGTGGTTTTTGAAAGTGGCATACTGTGAAATGTTAACAGTGACGTTAGTTTATGTTGTGAGTTATAGGAAATGAAAGTTGCTGTGGCTGAGGACCAAGCAAACGTTCCTGGCAGCACTATCAGCTTGCAAACTGAGGGTAGGATGACCCTTCAGAATAGAATATCTGTATTTAGGTATCTAGTGCATGCTCACAGATCTCCCATCAAAGTCAGTTCAGTGCAACCTATAGAGCATTTCAGCTTACCCTCAAATAGGTAGTTTCTGATTGGCCAGCTGAATTGTGTTGGTGTTTGTTAAATTGTTTGTTTGTTAAATTATAAATGTTGATGACACCTTTATCATAGTTTCACTGCCACAATAATTCTTTGTCCTGAGTACAAAATATGAGGTACATAATGTTGATCGGATTTTATTTATACATTCTTTTTACACAATTTTGTATCAATTTTAATAAGTTTATAAAATTTGAAAGGTTTTTATTTGACGTCTCAAACAAGTGTGTTTTTTGTTTGTTTGTTTTAGATTAATTTGACAGTTTCATACTGTGGAGCAAGTTTAGAAAAAAAATTGTTTTTCTGCAAAAGCGCAATGAACGAGATAAAATTTTAATGTGGTAGAGCACAATACAAAATAAAATAAGCTATTGTTCTTTATTTGCTTCACAAGAAAGGCTCTTGATTTCAACAGTTGAGTCTGTCTATTTCCTCTGCAGGAGTTTGGAGAACATCCAAATATCATTAAGCTACATGATGTTATTCGAGCTCAGAATGACAAGGACATCTACCTCATCTTTGAGTCCATGGGTGAGAATCAGCACTGCACCAACCATTTAAATTCATCCTCTCTTATGGGTTGTCTTTGTTCCCTGACAGTATTGTGACAATGGACAGTATTGTGGACCTCTAGAGGTCAAGTAATGATGGAGGTAGGCAGATTCATAGGAGCTGTACAGGTCTTTATGTTGGTTGTGGTTAGATGGGAATAACAGTAAAACTTAAATGGAAAAAATTATGAAAACTGGTTTGAGTGAGGAGGTGGAAGGAAGGCAGTGAGCAACAAATTAGAAGGCTTGTGGAAACATAAAAATTGCATGGGATGATTGTATGTGTCTTTACTGTAATAAAATTATGCAATAGAACTAGTATAGCATGAGTTCTACAGGTCAAAGTATACATCAGTATATATAATGCAGAATGTGAATAAGTCAGGAGGTGTTATGCTAGCTTTACAATTAGTGTGTTCTTAATCAGAGTTAAGGAGTGTGTTTTTCTCTGTCTATGTGAAACTGCTAACCTGAGACTCAGAGGTATAATAGGTACATTTATAACTCAGCAGTGGACCTTATAATACCGAAGGATCGCAGTACTATCAGTAATTGAAGTATCAGCTTCCATTGAGGATGCGCTTGAAAGATTGCAGCGTTGGGAATAGTCTCTGTGGCCTTTCTCTGGAGAACTTGTATTCACAGTTTGTAATCCTTTACTTATCTGTATTACAGAGACAGATTTACATGCAGTCATTAAGAAGGGGAATTTGTTGAAAGACATCCACAAGTGTTACATTCTCTACCAACTCTTGAAGGCCACTAAATTCATCCACTCAGGAAATGTTATTCACAGGGATCAGAAGGTATCGTTCAGCCACTAATCTTTATTGGAATGGACAGTCACTCAATGTTTCTGTTAAATAATAATGTGAAAGTGTGAAAAGAATGAGACTAGTGTAAGAACTTTAATAATAACCCACTCTTCAGAGAGTAAAGAGCCTATTAATTTTTCTTTGTTTGATACAGCCTTCAAATATCCTGCTGGATGCAGACTGCTTTGTTAAACTCTGTGATTTTGGGCTGGCTCGTTCTCTGTGTCAGATGAATGAGGACCAAGGCAACCCGGCACTGACGGAGTATGTGGCAACACGCTGGTATCGAGCCCCTGAGATCTTACTTTCCTCTCAGAGGTAACTTTAAGAGTGGGCAACAATTTGCCTGATGTGACAGGAAGGATGGGATTATATCATTTCTTCACTACTGGGAGAAATTATAGAATGCTTAAGGTTGGAAGGGACCTCTAGAGGTCATCTAGTCCAACCCCTCTGCACACGCAGGGTCCCCTAGAGCACGTGGCACAGGACTGCATCCAAACAAGTTTTGAAGATCTCCAGAGAAGGAGACTCCACAACCTCTCTTGGCAACCTGCTCCAGGGCTCCATCACCCTCACTGTTAAGAAATTTTTCCTTAAGTTCCTGTGGAACTTTTGATGCTTTAGTTTCTGGCCATTTCCTCTAGTTTTATCTGTGGCCACCACTGAAAAGAGGCAGCCCTCGGGGCTATCGGCTACTCCTCCCAGTTTTGTATCATCAGCAAACTTGCTGATGGAGCACTCTGCCTTCATCCAGGTCATTGAACAGGACTAGACCAAGGACTGCCCCCTGGGGGACACCGCTAGCTACAGGCCTCCAACTAGACTCTGCACGGTTGATCACCACCTTCTGAGCTCTGCCATCCAGCCAATTCCTAATCCACCTCACTGTCCACTCATCTATCCCACACTGCTGGAGCTTGCCCAGGAGGATGTTGTGAGGGACGGTGTCAAAAGCCTAATTTTGCTTTTGCTCAGCCTTATTGGCTGAGGAGTTTTGCATTATTTTAGTGTAGATGTCATCAGATACAAAGTCATCAGATTCAGGCCAAAATCTCAATGTGCGCCTGTAATTCTGCATTGCAGCAGAAAAGTGTCTCATTACATGCATGTTCCTTGCTGTCTTCTTAGGTTTCCCATTTGCATACATCATCCAGTTTGTATGATTGTCATCCATTCTCTCGTCAAACATATTCTTTCTCCCATTAAATCTGCATTTTTACATTTTTTTTCAGTATCTCAGTCCTCTTTTCCAAATTTTGCTTTAAGATTCTTTGAAGGTGGGCTTTCAATTACTTTTTTCCCTCTCTGTGTGAACAGAGCTGAAAGTTTTGGCCCATCATATTTTTACCCAACGAGAAACCACAGTAGTAGCTGGTGTTTCTTTATGGTATTGTTTTTTCTGTGTGTATGTGTTTTTTTGTTTTGCTTTTGTTTTGTCTTATATTTTTGTATGCTTGCTTGCTTAAGGAACTTTACGCTCTTCTTTCTAAGCCTAGCAGATAAATCAGCTTTCGCCTTTTTATTTTCCTAGCGATTTCTTTCCCAGAAGTTTCCTCCTCCTTGTGCAGATCTGTGTTTCAGACCATGCCTCTCTAGGTCACAAATCTCACTTCAGTATTTTTTATCACGTTTTTGCAGACTTTCTCTGCCTTGCCTTTATGTCCTGGCTAGTGTAGAATAATCATCAATCCTCTCCATCTAAGGATGTCTTCTGAAAAGACTTAATCAATGATACAAGTGTTAGCATTTTGTTATTTTTTAAGGGAGATTTGGGAGGGGATGGTACATTGGCAGTTGTTACTCTCCAGGGTTTCCTTGCCAATAGCAGGCAAGATGTACCAGCTTGCTGCTGATGGGTGAAGCAAGTCAGATACATGTGTGGTGGTAGCAGCAGCTTACTGTCCCGCTTCAAAGAATAGCAGTCTGATGGAGGTCTGTTTGACAGGGACTCCCAAATAGCCCAGATCACATTATTCACTACCTCTTTCATATTTTTTTCTCTTTCTCTTTCCCATTTTTTCCCCTGTCTACCACCCCATCCCCTCCCAAACAAGCAACCCATCCATAATTAGTTCATCCTTACTGATCCCCCAAAAAGACTCCCAAAATCCTCTTCAATAATTTGGAGCTTTCCCTTAACTGCCTGTGAAATCCATCCAGTCTTCACAATGCTATATGTAATTTTGGTTAGCTTTTTGTACTGTTGCTTTTGCATCCAGCTATTTCTTACATCACGTTCAATAGTTAGTGGTAGCCTCAGACAAAGCCCTAGCTGGAAGTCTCCATTGGCCAGTGCTAATAAGAGAGCTGTTCTTCACACTTGCCTGCCTCTCAAATTATGTATATTCCCTTTCCTCATTAACTTTGAAATCCCACTGACATTCTCTGTGGCTTTCAAATAGAAGTCTCATAACAGTCTGCTTTACAGTGCTGTTGTCAATAGATTAGATGGCATATTTGAACCTACAATAAAGTAAACAAAAAGGTTGCACTCACTGCATTACTTGAATCTGTTGTTTTTTCAAAGTAATCAAAGAATCTGTTTTCCATACACCTTATACCTATATATAGTGTATACATATATATACATATAGTGTATATATCTATAACCAAATGTTGACTATATATATTTTATTTTCTGATTTTGTCTACTAAAATAAAAAATAAGACTAAACTTGAACAACATGCAAAGATTCCAATTCTGAAATGTGTGTATTTTGCATATTGTCATATACCTATTAGTTGCCACTTACTCTGCTTAACTGTAATTACTTTCTCCTGAAAAGTCATGTTATGCCGTCTATTTCCAAACAGCAGCAACTTGTATCTTCATTATTGGTCATATGTTAAGTACATACGAGCTTGTCTGGATATTCACCTTTTCTAGTTTCTTTTCTACTCCATTCCCTTAATCATCCTTATGACCCTTTACTGAACTTGTTCCAGTAAATCCATGTCTGTCTTGTACTGGGGAGCCCAGGATTGGACACAATACTCTGATTAATGATTGCTCTAATCTCATTTACCTTATGGTCAAAACTTGTTAGGATTCTTTTTCAAGTAATAGATTGAACTTGTTTTCCTACAGGAAAAAGCTCACATAAAGGTTGAAAATATCACATACAGGAATATGCGTGCTTGATCATGTCCTAACACTGTTCTATTCTTGTTTATAGCTACACTAAAGGGGTGGATATGTGGAGCATTGGTTGTATTCTGGGGGAGATGCTACTTGGAAAACCTCTTTTTCCTGGAACATCAACCATGAATCAAATAGAGCGCATCTTGAGAGTCATCCCTGCCCCATCTGCAGAAGGTAAGATTCTTCTGTGGAGGAAGATACACAGAGAAGTGATGAAAAGAGAGAAAGGAAAGCAGGGCAGCTGTATCAGGAAAGAGGATATCAGTTATGATTCATTCTTGCATCTTTCCAAGGAAATTAGAGAATTAATTGTGAAATATCAGTATTAGAGGAAAACAGAATTGTGCTTGATTAAATGAGAAGTAAGAACTAAGCTCTCATAAACATTTTTGAGATTTCTAAGAGAATAACAGCTTTAAACAGAATATTGCGTTTCAATGGGACTTGTATGGTAGCAGTAAATTGGACTTTCTAGAATGCTAATCTAAAAACAGACATGAAAGCCAGAGTACATATATTTAAAAGATTTTTCATTATGATAATCTTTTCTGACTTCCAATCCATAGAGGTTATTATTTTTTGCAACATATTGTTGTGTTCTGACATAGCTCATGAATATTTTTAGAAAAATAGCCACCTTTGATTTAAGGGCATCAGTCTTGAAAAAATACATTCTAGTTTACATTTATTTATATTCTTTATTAGAGATTTATAACAGGTTGGGGTGAATGAAATCTAAAAGGAAATGTGTGTGTGAAAACACCAAGAAAAAGAACAGAACAAGGACTGAGCAGTAACCTACAAAGGTAACAAAATGTTAGCTCCCCAGTAATAAAATTTAAGGAATGCATTGATTATGTCAAAATCAGGAGACCTACACTCTGATAAGACCACAGGACACATGACTAGCAGATGGTCCTGCATCCTAAACACAGGATGATAGATTGCATCATATCACAGGTGACATTTTCTACTAGCCAAATAAGTAGAACAAACATATGGTCAAAACGTTATTTCAAAGAAGGGAAAACAAACAAGTAGTCTTCGGCCTCTTGACCAAAATTTATGGACACGAAAGATGTGCGGTTCTGAAGCAAAAGACCATTCCAGTACAACTCTTTACTCTTAAAGAGCTTGAAATATATGTACAGAAAATAGTTCATCATCAGCCAAGAAGAAACCCAGGGACTGGATGAGGAACTCAATAGCTGATACCCTTTGTCCACTGCCTCACACACAAGCAATCCTGGCCAGACCATTTTGCTTAAGATGTTGTGGTACTTCTGAGTGTGTGGGTATATGAGGGCAGGAATATGCAGTGTATAAGAGGATGAATAGGAATCGAGAAACTCAACTTAGAACATTTGTAAATGAATATTTCATCCTTCTTCCATAAGATCTCTCACTGAGTTTTGTTGTCCTAATTATCTTTTCTCTATTGCAGATATTTTGGCTATGCAGTCAGATTACAGGGCCTCAGTTATCAACCGCTTGAGCTCCCGGTAAGCCCTGTATAGCCATGTCTCAGAGGTCAACCATTCACAGCATCACATGGACAGAAATGTCACCTCTTCACTTGATGCTGACTTTCCAGTGTTCACCACTGGAAATAATTTTCCTTTCTGCTTATTTTTCTACCTCTAAGGAATGGTTGTAAGAGTTTATTTATTTAACTTTAATTAAAAAGTAGTTTTTAATGTGTTTGGTGTGGTATTGCAAGTTTATTTCTAAAGCAAGAGAAAGAATAGACTTCTAAATTAGGCACTTTGTGTAGGTTCCAAGGCTAGGAGGGAGGCATCCAATCTAATCGACAAGGTGAGAGCTTAGTTCAGAGAATATGGTGGAGTGCTCCTGGATTATGTCATACTGTTGGTGAGCGAATTCTGGGCATAGATGTTCTATTGATGTGATTTCCAGAACTGTAATTCGTGACTTTTAACTGTGAGTTAGACATAGGGAGCTTATGCCATTGTTTCCTGACTTTTAGGCAAAGAGTAACATTTGAGGAGATTTTGCCATCCTCTACTCCACTACATGCCTTGGATCTTCTGAAAAAACTCTTAGTATTTAACCCTGATAAACGGCTAACAGCAGAGGAGGCACTGCAGCATCCTTATGTGAAAAGGTGAGAATGATGTCAATGTGCAGTTTCCCCTGCTGTCTTGTGAACCATGATAGAACTGCTCTTGTCACAAGCTCCCATTGTAACATGCTAAAAAAAGAGACAAAGCTAATTCGTATTTCTCTCTAACTCCATTTAGAATGGAGATCACATTAAGTGACTGAACAATCTTTTCTGATGTGATATGAATCTGTGTATTGTCTTAGTGTGTAACATTATGTGTTATCTTCTTCCCAGGTTTCACTGTCCTGCCAGGGAACCCTCTCTGGGTTATGATGTGATTCTTCCTTTACATGATGATATCCAGCTCTCTGTAGCAGAGTATCGAAATAAATTATATGAGGTAGTTCCTCTTATCCTATTTCCCAAAACCCTACTCCTCTAGATAACGTGCTGTTTTTGCACACACTCATTGAATTCTGTCATTTTCTCCTATTTGTCATCCCTGGATTTTCCATGAATATCTACAATTACATTTTGTCATTTCTTACTATTCAGTTCCCAACTGTCCTGACTTTTAAAAGAGATCTTCAAATCTTC